AATTATTAAGAATTCCATTTTTTATGTTTAATAAAGTTTTTTCCAATAATATATAATTAGTAATTCTTAATTGCATTGCAAAAAATTGCGTACAGATACTTTATAGTAAACAATATTTCTATACAATGTTTAAATTATCACATCCCATCATGCAACTTTCTATCAATGTATGAGTTTTTGTTAACAAAGGGAAACCAATCATTATGCACCATATAAAAGGCTACCATTTTTCATAACATTTTTCCTTTGAGGTATCCAAATACACGAACAAATGTATATGAACCACTTTAATTTTCTTTCCAGGTACTACTTCATTCTTCATATTATGGTCTGTGCTAGCTTATTCATTATTGGCAATCAACAGACATTCACATTACTTCCATACTATTGTGTGTACTCTCTGTGAAACCTAATGTAGATGTGGGTGCATCCTGTGATGTTTCCTCTAAGGATTGGGCATCCATGCCTTCTGGTACATTGTTTGTTGCTGAACTTGTTCCATCATCCCAGTTTATTTTGAATCTAGTAACACGTGGTTTATCTCCTAAGATATTTCTTTGCACTTTGTCAAACTGAGGCTGCGGTGGTGGATTTTCTCTAAGTTCTGCATCTGTGTATTCATTATTTATAAAATAGCCAACACGCACAAATTCATGTCCTCTATATGAACAAGTTAACAATACAACAGTAACACCTAAAGCATCATTGACTGGAATCCTACTAACATCAGGAGGGTCAGCCTAAAATAAGTAATAAATATCAAATATACATATATAAAAATAAAGGTTATTGTATTAATTATACTCCTAGCAAGACATATCAACAAAAATTCTGCAAATTATAGAAGAAATTCCTATTATCAATTTACCTGAAATATAAACATATGCCTTCCTTCAGGAATTGGACCAACATAAATTGTATCTAAAACCTGATCAAATTCTTCGGATTCAGCGCTGCCGACATAGATCATCTTCCATTCTAAATCTGTAATACCATTGTTATTATAACATATTATGTCCCTTGTTTGAAATGATTAATGAATTTCAAAAAGGAACACACTCAAAATAAACAATGCTTATATTCTTTTTAGAACAAGATAGTAAAAAAAGTGTTACATTGATTCGTCCTTGGAAAATTCTCTTAGATTATTGAAACTAACCTAGTACAAATGTTAAAAATATTCGGATGTTTTCATTTCGAACAGTGTTGATATCAATTTACATGCATATTTCATAGGATAAGAAAAAATTAAAAGAAATACCTTCTTTCAGTTCTTCGATACACTCAAAAGTAACTTCGAACTGAAATGGGTTTAGAAACGGTGAAGGATTATCGAGAACAGTTACATTTGCTAGCTGAACCTTGGCCATCGTCGATTTTGTTTAACGATCAATTTCACCGCAACACACGATTTTCACTATAACGACTTTAAAGTATCGTTTATCAGGTTGTACTCTGTGTAACAAATTTGTAAATTAATTTCTTGAGAGGCGAAGGAACTCAAATCAAAAGATAAACAATTTCATTGCAACACACAGCTTGCTTTGGCGGCAAACGAAGCAAAGGACGTTTCCGGTGTTTTGGGTACCATCGAAAATTCAGGCAACATTGTATATATCATGCATCAACGTAAATTTCAAAAATCGCTCGCCTTAATTCGGCGCGGATTTTAAGAAATGCATAGAAAATACAATCCTTGATCTTACATGAATTTTAAATATTTATAAAACATGTATTTCTTATTACATTATTAAAGTTGCTTTCGTTACTTTAAAACGATTCGTTGTGCAACTTTGGAAATTTTACTTTGGAATACTAACATAGAGTGATTGAATTTGTTTGTTTACGACACAATCACGGAATGACAAAATGTGAGACTTAAAAAAATGCAGCAAACAATGATATTAAATGCACGAATTAATAAAGAGTTCGTTTAATTTATATTAACGTATGTATTTGAAAGGTACAACTATCCTTAAGGTTTATTTACAATATAGAGGGACGTAATTGGTGAAATTGCAAATTTGAGATCCAATCATAGAAGGTAAAACATTCTTGGACAAATTATCAATGAACACTAACTTGGAATATTTATTGTTTTTTAGTTTCTTAAATCAAGTTATGAATATGTCCTTTTCAATCATTTTAAATAATTTCATTATTTTTAAGAAAAATGTATACTATTGGAACAGAATTGTAAGAATTGCAAACAGTGTTACAACCTAACTAATTTGGCTACATATTATCATAAATCATTTTATTTATATCGGCAAGACAACATTAAAAATCATATATTTAAAGTTATCCGAAATATTAGAATTTGATCATACGTTGATAGTGGGTTTTTTACTAGATTGGTGCATTTCTTAGTGTTTAAGCCCTTTGTATGTAGATGGCTGCACTGCTTCATTTCGCAATAAATTTAATAAAAAAATTTCAAACGCGTATCTTGTTACTAACAATAAATATAATTTAAAAGTATGTATTTCTTTTTCTTATTTTATTTCAAATTACCTTAATAATTCTAACCTCAACTGAAAGTTACATTTAAGAGAATTAGGAAGAAATTGTAACTTTTCCTTTAAATTCATGCTAGTAATATTGAAGGGAGATTATCACATCAACGTTTTTTTTTTGCTACCAAAACGAGATTATGAAACAACCAGGATTTTACATATAAGGTTTATTAAATATTTTTTTTATTTACATTATTCCCGACATGTTTGCGTTTTCTATACAGAATTGCTTTTACATCGCGACATAGGTCGGCAGACGACAACTCATCCTGAAATATTTGTCTGTTCTCCGTGCGTTTCTTTTAATTGACGATACGGTTTTAAACAAGCAACGTCCAAACGAACGCTCTAAAACTGCATTATTATTCGTTGCGAATAGCACCGTTCGATTTATAATCAGGTCACGACAAAAAGTTTATACTTGAGGAAACTACGAAACATTTAAATGGTGTGATAAAAGTAAACAGAAGACAATTTTTTTGAAGCCCATTCTTCTTTTCAAACGAGCTTGTTAAATTATCCTAATCCCCACCAATTAAATTATACAATTGTTCTCTAAAGGAAATAGCGAATGATATTAAAAATTTCAGTATTCGATCTGCTATTTGATTTAACAAATTAAGATAAAGAATTATTCCTTGCAACAATTAATACTAATATTATCATATAGAAAAAAAAATTAGGAGAAACATAATGTGTTTCGCAAAAAAGCTTTTATTTACATTTGTTCCTCTTTCTTCAGCGCTATGTTGTTAATCTAAAATTGCAATAAAATCCCACAAAATCGATCACATTCACACTGATCACCTCTGCTTGCTGTGGAATGTTTCACATAATAAATACAGCTTTCAACATAAATTAAAAACGTGTCTGGCATTTACAACTGAGAATGATTGGGGGAGGGGCAGAAGGGAAAGGGGTGGTAGGTACGTGTACGCAATAAACATGTATGTGTATGAACGTGTGTAAATGAGTAACTCGGAGGGAGCACGCGTTCACGTGCGCGCATGTGTATGTTTGTTTACATGTGAATCTCGGTGCGTGTCGGATAGAATCTGCACGGATTCTATCGCAACGAATTTATATCTACTCACGACGAGCCCGTATACCTTATTTACAATGTCCATATAAACATATACACTGCACTGATCGCTTATTAAACCTATTATCGATATTACGAAGTGAAGATGGTAGAAAGTACCGTTTTGTACCTTAGGTTCAATGCGGAAGAAACGCGTACATACAGAGAGTGAAATACGACGATTAAAAATAAAGAAAAAGAACGATCGAAGAGACGAATTAACAGTGGAGAAAAGAAAGAAAGAAAGAAAGAACTAAAATGTGGAAAGGCAAGATATAGTGGAGGAAACGTAAGAGAAATATGCTGGCCTGTGCGCGAAGTTCAATCCTTCGTCTGTGGTGTCTCCAACGCGGAGAAGAAACATCGTTACATCGTGCCTGTCGCTCGACATTGAATTCGTTTAACAGAAATCGCTGTTATCTGTCCCTACGAGCGCAGTAGCATCTACCGGCTACATCGACGGAACTTAATATGTAACAGGGAATTCTTAATCCAACCCTTAACTGCTAAATCAATCTTACAATTGGACTGAGTGATAAATTATTATCGACTGTACAACGCCGTTAGTCTTTTATTCTTCTTCTTCATCTTATTTTTCTTCACATTTTCTGCTTCGTTTCCTTTTTTTTCTCTCCTTTACACGTTGCTTTCTTTCATTTCGACAACAACAAAAAGTTACACATTTTCTACTTGTTCGCTCGGAGAGCTGCTTTTCGCCTCGAACTACAACAAACATATCTTCCGAGTCTTGTTTCGTTTTCGCTCATTTTACTTGGACCACGTGAATAAGTTTCCACTTTTTTTTTATTCGTAATTTTTTTTTTCTTCGCTTTTGCTATTCATTATAAAATATACTTCCTGTCGATCGCAAAACGGTAATGTCGTCGAACATGTGCGCGAGGGATCTCGAGAAAGGATACACGCGTATCGGTCAAACAAGTGACGAAAATGATGTTGAGTACCTTGAATTTTGTACAAACGCGCGTGTGTCGTTCCATTTCCGGTAGATGGAATTCAAGTAATAAAGTATCGTGTTAAAGAATCATTTTAAATAGTTGGATAATGACCTCATGTCTCTGGTTTGCCTTAAAAACAGAAACTAGAGGCAAAGAAGTTACATAGTTACTAAAATAAATTACTAGTTCATGTGGTGTTTTGTAGTATGTATCCACGGGGCTACAACTATTTCATTGACTATCACTTCTTGTACCGATACGTTCCACAGCCGGGTTTTCTCGCTACTCGAAGAAGGAAAAAAAACGAAAGAAAGCTTGCCCCCTATAGGTATTCTCTTTTTTTTTTCACTTCGTTTCGTGACGATTTACGATCGTTTGTTTAAATCACATGAACCTTAATAAGTACCAAGTGCCTAATGTTAAGGTCAACGTTCGAGATACCCTGAATACTACCCACGTAAACAGGTAGAGGAATGAACCCTTGTTACCGAGTTCCGCGTATACTTTTTTTTTTCCTTTCGTATCGTTTACTTATTTATTTATTTACTTTTTTTTCCTCTTCTCCGCCTCTCGATCGAGAACCTCGAAATAAATATTAATTAGATACCATGAACGGCGAAGGTTCGTCGGCTCGGACGTAGACGCGAAGCGGAAGAATACGAAATGGCGAGTTTTCATATTTTTTATCATTTTTCGCATTTAGGTAAGTCTATACACAGGACGTATCTTACATAGATTAAAGGTAAAATTAGTTCTTCGAAGTGTTTTAGACCATTAGTCGTCAGAGGGAGCCACGGGGAACATTCTATATCTTCGTTGACGATCTCCTCTGACCGTAATCTGTAACAACGAATATAAGAAACAATCGTGAGAAACTTGTAAATGTTGTATTTCCTTCTCGTTCCGTGCGATCACTACTTTAAATCAGTCGGAAGGAAGGAAACTGTCCGCTTATCCTTCGTTATCGTTAAAACTATACAGAAATCTCTTAAAAGCGTATCCCTTCGTATCTACTGAGAAAAGTAGGAGGAGAGATTTCGCGCTCGCTCGCTAATTCATTGTTCCTATTAAATTACTTTTAACGCTGCGTTGCACAACAGCAGCAGCAGCCAGCACTGCCAAGAGCAGCAAGGGAGAGGAAAACTTTAACCTCCGTCAGGTAAACTTTTTTATCAACTTCTTATGCAAGATAAAACGCGTGGAATCTGAACTTTTAACGATTCACGTGGCCACGTTTGCCGGTCTACTCGCGTTCCTCCATTTTAACCGAATTACACGTTGTATATCGCGCGCCTTTATGACGTCTGGAAGAAAGGCTCGTGGAAAACGTTCTTTATCGACAATTTCTGTATAGTCTAATATTCGGTACATACCCACTATTTAAACTTGAAGAACATACCACATTCTAATCTTGCATCTACGTTATTCCCATAGAAAAAACAAACGTCTGACTGAACTTTAAACGAATTATAACCTCAAAATTGCTCTCGACACAGATTCTTCCAGAAATCCTTTTATCTTATTTTTCTTTTAAAACCATAAATTAGAAAAAAAAAACAACAACAACAAATGCTTTACATCTTCTCTTATAGACTTATCTTCCACTTATCTTTTTGCCCAACACTTACATTACCCACCCTAATATCATCCCAATCTTCTCACTTCCATAACTCACCGTTTCAACGGGAACAAGAAATTGTCATCTGGAATGCCGGTGGAACAACAAACTTTTACGTATTGATGTACAACTGGTGGTGAGCCTGGTGTTGACTCTGATGGGGATGCTGCAACGAGTGTTGATGTTGGTGTTGATGAGGATGCTGATGTTGCAGCGTTGGGTGTCTCGCGTTGAATCTCACGCTTCCAGCTAGCGAGCTTCCCCTGCCATGGGTGCCAACCACGCTAGGCGTGTCGGATAGCTCGTCGTCCTCCGCGCCCAGGCTGCGGAACCTGACGAATCCATCCTCGGCGACCAGCATCGTCGAGCCCGTGGTAGGCGTCTGCTCGTGGACATTGCCGCCGGTCTGTTGCACAGGCGTGTGTCTGCCGCGGCTCTCGGAATTTCTTAGAGTTTGTATCCCATTACCGTGCCGGTTTAATGAGCCACGGCCTTCGTGTGGGAAATGGCCCATGGTGCCTGACTTGCGAATGGAATGTCTCTCGAAGGTACCTGCGACAATGGCACTGTGTTATTTAGCATATGTATATCCCTCCCTCTCTCTCTCTATTTTACCACCTTCTTATTACTCAATCATGCTCACCCTCTTTCCTTACACACACACACAAGAATTTATTTATTTTTTTTATTGCAGTGTGTGGTTCGTGGTATGTATATCTCGTTTACGCGAACCGAGAGTTTGAGATTCTGTTAAGAAGTAGAAAAAGGGGACACAGGATGAGACGTATTTGGAATTTTATTTCTCTTTCTTCATTTCAAATTGTTTGATAGATTGACACGTTAATAGGTTAGGAAACAGGTAAAAGACCAATCGATGGATACTTCTTTTTTTGAAGCGAAAAATATTCAGATTTCCGGCACTTTAAGTAGACGA